GAGGGAATGAGTGAGGGAGCGAGTGAGTGAAGGAGTGAGTGAAGGAGTGAGTGAGGGAGCGAGTGAGTGAAGGAGTGAGTGAAGGAGTGAGTGAGGGAGCGAGTGAGGGAGCCAGGGAGCGAGTACTATCAGTTTGGATTTTCCACGTTGAAAGTTAACAAACGACGCAACATTAGTAATTGGAGCAATATTTGTTGGGATCTCCTGTGTGTTTGTTTACCTTTCTCATATCACTCGTGTGCTCACCTGGTTGTGGCTGCCGGGATGGGGGGGGGGGTCGAGTCTCGGCTTCTGGCCCCCTCCCACCCTGGGAAAGTGTATGTATGTATGTGCAGGTATGCGGGTACAAGCTGCCACCCGTGTGTCACATCACTGGCCCTGACACACCTGTTGGAACACTTGTTGGGAACACCTGTTGCATGTGTTCCACACTTGCTTACACAACACCAAGGCTACGTAGGTCGAGATCCCTCCCTGCCAGCTCTTCAAGTGCTCTTAGTCCAGGGAATTGGAGATAAACTTCCTTTCCTCGGATCAGACCTGATTACCTCCCATTCCCCAGCCGCTTTATGACCCTAACGAGTTGACTCTATCCCGTGAATATAATAATAATAAAAATAATAATTACGTGTGTATAGTGTTTTTCAGGTATACAAATAGCTAAGTCAGCAATTTGTAATTTTAAAGACATGGGACATTCAATTCACAGCGAGACTGAAGTACTTAATAAAGCCCCACTGTAGTTAATAAAGCTCCACTGTAGTTAATAAAGCTCCACTGTAGTTAATAAAGCTCCATTGTGGTTAGTGAAGCCTTACTGTGGTTAATAAATCCCCCCTCCTGTAAAAAGTGCCTTTGAAATCTCCGTGTTTTTTTTGTTTTTTTACATGCAGAGTGGGTCAGACAAGCAGAGCTGTTTTGACTATTTTCTTTTTAACGGGTTTAGCTCTTGCTTCGAATATAATGGTAGTTAAAAATGTATTTACAGGAATTAATGGTTACATTTCTGTAGATTAACATGATGCATTTTTTTTTTAATATTGAAGACAAGCCTTTCAAGTTCACCCAGCCTTGCTAAAATATGGTGATATTGTTTAGTCTTACCTTCGGCAATTTATCTTAGGTCAGCCTAAATTTGGTTAAAACGATTTAACATCAGTGTGATGTGTTTATTTTGTGATGTTGAGATTGTTACTGAGGTATTGTAGTAACGAATTGACATGTCTTTCAAGGGAGATTGTGACATGTCCTTCAAGGCAGGTTGCAACATACAAGATACTCAGAGAATAAGACAGAGAAGATTGGGACAGACTTTTTTTTTAGAATGCGAGACACAGGGTCGAGGTGATCATACATGGAAGCTAAAGATGCAGACGAATCACAGGGATCTTAGGAAATACTTTTTCAGTTTCTAGAGTGGTAAGTAGAATGAGTTATAAGAGAAAGTGGTAGTGGCAAACTTAATACACAGTTTTAAGATAGGGCCCGTAAGGCCTGGAACGAGTAATTACAGCAATTGTAGTTTAAGAGGAGGGGCCAGGAGCTGAGACTCGATGAGTACATACACTCACGCACACTACGGGTCTGGTTCGCCAAATGGCTCCTGGACTATAACCCAACCAAGTGCAAAGTTATGAAGCTTGGGGAAAGAGGACCGCAGACGGAGTACAGGGGGCAAAGGCTGCAAACCTCAGTCAGATCTGGGGCGAGTGTCATCCCGAGCACATCCCTTAAGTTTGGGGAAAGACGAAGAAGACTGCAGACAGAGTATAGCCTAGGCCAAATGCTGCAAAACTTATTTAAGGGTATGTCCTACGAGAAAAGTTAAGGGAAATCGACCTGACGACCCTGGAGGACAGGAGAGATAGGGAGGTCATGATAACGACATATAAAATGCAGAACAGAATTAACAAGGTGGACAGGGAACAGGATGTTTCAGAGATGGGACACAGCTAGAAGGGAACACAACTGAAAGTTGAGAACTCAGATGAGTCACAGGGATGTTAGGAAGTATTTCTTAACCCTAGAGTTGTCAGAAAGTGGAACAATCTGGAGAGTGATGTAGTGGAGGCAGGATCCATACATAGCTTTAAGAAGAGATATGATAAAGCTCATGGAGCAAGGGAGAGAGTGGACCTAGTAACGACCAGTGAAGAGGCAGGGCCAGGAGCTGTGACTCGACACCCTACAACCACATGTAGGAGTACACACGCACACACACACACAGGACCCAGGAGAATAAGGAGAGCAGTCGTAGAGCCAGTAATGAATATGCACAGTTAAGGGAGGCCCAACGACAATATGAAAACGACATAGCAGCGAAAGCCAAATCTGACCCGAAACTGTTATACAGCCACATCAGGAGGAAAACAACAGTCAAGGACCGGGTAATCAGGCTAAGGAAGGAAGGAGGAGAGACAACAAGAAATGACCGTGAAGTATGTGAGAAACTCAACAAGAGATTCAAAGAAGTGTTCACAGAGGAGACAGTGCTGTATAGCCCTTGTGGCTTAGCGCTTCTTTTTTATTATAATAATTCACAGAGGAGACAGGGGCTCCAGAAAGACCGAGAGGTGGGGTACACCACCAAGTGCTGGACACAGTACACACAACCGAGGAAGAAGTGAAGAGGCTTCTGAGTGAGCTAGATACCTCAAAGGCACTGGGGCTGGATAACATCTCTCCATGGGTCCTGAGAGAGGGAGCAGAGGTGCTATGTGTACCCCATAACAACAATATTCAATATATCTGTCGAAAAAGGGAGATTGCCTGAGGCATGGAAGACAGCAAATGTAGTCCCAATCTTTAAAAAAGGAGACAGACATGACGCACTAAACTACAGACCAGTGCCACTGACATGTATAGTATGGAAAGTCATGGAGAAGATTATCAGGAGAAGACTGGTGGAACACCTAGAAAGGAATGATCTCATCAACAGCAGCCAACATGGTTTCAGGGATGGGAAATCCTGTGTCACAAACCTGCTGGAGTTCTATGACATGGTGACAGCAGTAAGACAAGAGAGAGAGGGGTGGGTGGATTGCATTTTCTTGGGCTGCAAGAAGGCGTTTGACACAGTTCCACACAAGAGATTAGTGCAAAAACTGGAGGACCAAGCAGGGATAACAAGGAAGGCACTACAATGGATCAGGGAATACTTGTCAGGAAGTCAGCAGCGAGTCATGGTACGTGGCGAGGTGTCAGAGTGGGCACCTGTAACCAGCGGGGTCCCACAGGGGTCAGTCCTAGGACCGGTGCTATTTCTGGTATTTGTGAACGACATGATGGAAGGAATAGACCCCGAAGTGTCCCTGTTTGCAGATGACGTGAAGTTGATGAGAAGAATTCATTCGATCGAAGACCAGGCAGAACTACAAAGGGATCTGGACAGGCTGCAGACCTGGTCCAGCAATTGGCTCCTGAAGTTCAACCCCACCAAGTGCAAAGTCGTGAAGATTGGGGAAGGGCAAAGAAGACCGCAGACAGAATACAGTCTAGGGGGCCAGAGACTACAAACCTCACTCAAGGAAAAAGATCTTGGGGTGAGTATAACACCAGGCACATCTCCTGAAGCGCACATCAACCAAATAACTGCTGCGGCATATGGGCGCCTAGCAAACCTCAGAACAGCATTCCGACATCTTAATAAGGAATCGTTCAGGACCCTGTACACCGTGTACGTTAGGCCCATATTGGAGTATACGGCACCAGTTTGGAACCCACACCTAGCCAAGCACGTAAAGAATCTAGAGAAAGTGCAAAGGTTTGCAACAAGACTAGTCCCAGAGCTAAGAGGTATGTCCTACGAGGAGAGGTTAAGGGAAATCAACCTGACGACACTGGTGGATAGGAGAGATAGGAGGGACATGATAACGACATACAAAATACTGAGAGGAATTGACAAGGTGGACAAAGACAGAATGTTCCAGAGATGGGACAGAGCAACAAGAGGACACAGTTGGAAGTTGAAGACACAGATGAATCACAGGGATGTTAGGAAGTATTTCTTCAGCCACAGAGTAGTCAGGAAGTGGAACAGTTTGGGAAGCGATGTAGTGGAGGCAGGATCCATACATAGCTTTAAGCAGAGGTATGATAAAGCTCAGGGTTCAGGGAGAGTGACCTAGTAGCGACGAGTGAAGAGGCGGGGCCAGGAGCTCGGACTCGACCCCTGCAACCTCAACTAGGTGAGTACACAGAGACAAGCGTTTCCTTGACCCTGATGACATAGTCAAGACTTTCTTCTTCAAGAACTTGTCATGCACCCTTTAAATGTGTAGTTAATGAGGCAGTAATTACTGCAACGTTTCGCTCTCCAGGTGCTTTGACAAACCAACACAAGTACATATAATGGTATATAAATAGAACATTTTGAGGTTGCGTAAGCTCCTGGAGAGCGAAACATCGCCCTTGTGTGTTATTAGTTGCTGATGTGACCTTTTCACTTCGTTCAGTTATGTTTTATTTCAGTTACTAGGTCATATCCTCTGAAAATCATGACAATGAGCATTTCCTTCCTGCTTGAACATTTCGCCTTTGATAAAACTCAACAAAAGAGCTTTATCAAGCTGGTTCTGCAAGCTGCCTCGTTCCTTACGTTACTCGTTGCTTTTTCAGTACGGAACAATGATATATTTGACATTTTTGTTGTTGTTTGTCATATGAGTGTCTAGGTGCCCGTCTTTCTTAAACCGGCTGCAACAAATATTGTTATGAGTCATAGTGTGACCTTCAACGGCGGTCACTTTCAAACTTCCCGCAAAGCTTCTGTAAGCTGAGGTACGCATGCGCCCCTTGGGAGTCATTGACGTCGCCTGTGTAAGCCCATTGCCTCTTAAATTTCGTAGCTATTAGGTTAATACTGTCTAATGTATAGGCTAAAGATCGGTTATGTACTTTTGTTGTGAAAGAAATGCGTAATTCCCTATTTTGTATTTTTATTAAGCGATTTTTTTTTGTATTGTCGAATGCGCTCAACCCCAGTCCAGGATGGTTATGACGTCAGTTATCAGTTGCCTTTGAGTCGTGGAAGTGGGGAGTTGTGTGCCGTCGTTCCTGGCGGCGATGGCATCTTACGAAGAAGTCGGGATAGGAGACGCTGTCCTCCTCGATGAAATCTCCACCAGTGCCTTCGTGGACAACTTGAGACTCAGGTAGGTAGTCTCGAAGTGGGAATTACTCGCAGGTGCTCCCATAGGAAGTATTAGTGACAAGATGTCTTCAAGAATGCCGGGCAAAGTAATTTGCTGCTGTTATGAATGTTGTTGGTAATTTACCTTCATATTGAGAACGGAGAATGAATATGGAATCAAGGGAACTATCTTTGTACGTCTTGTGTTATATTTTATATATGTTTACTCAACTACCTAAATGTCTCCTAGTAAGTTGCTTCAAATTTCCCGAGAGAGTTACCAGTTATTTTTTTACGCCTGTCTTTTTTTCAACGGTGTCGACACCGTAAAAGGTACTAGATTATTTAACTTGAATTTTGTGTGTGTGTCTGTCTGTCTGTGTCTGACTGTGTGTGTGTCTCTCTCTCTCAGTGTGTCTGTGTCTGTGCGTGTGTCTCTGAGTGAGAGAGAGAATATATTCAACTAACTACAGGTACACATAAATAGTTACATAAATTATCATAAATAGCAGCGTATGTGTAGATTACCTTGGATAACCCAAACAAATTAAGTGACTTATTTCCATTGTGGTCCTTGTGTATAAGGGGTATGTGTGTGTGTGTGTGAGAATGTTTGTGGGAAGGGAATTGTGGAGTGTACACGCTTGGGATGCGTATATAAGTATACGGGGTACACACGTGTGATGTGTCTGTGGATATGGAGATAAATGGTGTGTGTTGGGTGAAAGTGTGTGGTTTTCAGTTTGTGGGATGCGAGTGTGTATATGTGGAGTACACACGTGTGTAGGGTTGTGTTCGTAGACAATTTGTGTAGTTGGGTACGTGCGTTTGGGGAGGGTACACGCATGTTATTTTTGCGGGTGTGTGTGTGTACTCACCTATTGTGTTGCAGGTCGGACTCAGTCTGGCCCCGCTCTTCACTGATCGCTACTGGTGTGTGTGTGTGTGTGTGTGTGTGTGTGTGTGTGTGTGTGTGTGTGTGTGTGTGTGTGTGTGTGTGTGTGGTGTGGTGTGTGTGTGTGTGTGTGTATTCGGAGTACACGTGATTGTGTTTGTGGGATGCATGTCTGTGTGTGTGTGGAAAGAGGTGTAAATGACGCCATCCATTGTGTTAATTAGGATTTAGTATGCATATCATACCCATCCTCAGGGCGGTAGTCGAAATGTTACAAAAGCAAGGCACAATTCTATTGTATCTACGTTTGTCAAGGTCTACAACTAAGCTAATTCTTCCATCTCTTCTGTGAAGGTGCTCAAACTTTTCATTGGGTCTTCAGAATGTTCAGTTTCCCTTCTTAGGCCTCACGTTCTGGATGAGAAGGAGCTTCCTAGCATAGGCCAGTAAGTCTACTGTAGTGCTTCACTGTTTTTATGTTCTTTTGCACTTGAGTAGGAATGGGTGGGTGTAAGGCCTACCTTAGGTCAGTAGAAATACTACATTGTCCCTAGATCGATAGCACTAAATAACAAAAAGGCACAATACCGTGACTGGAACGATACACAAATAACCCGCACATAAAAGACAGAAGCTTACGACGACGTTTCGGTCCGACTTGGACCATTGACTAAGGTCACACTTTGTAAATGGTCCAAGTCGGACCGAAACGTCGTCGAAAGCTTCTGTCTTTTATGTGCGGGTTATTTGTGTATCGATAGCACTAATGTCCAACGTTATGAAAATCTTTGAGTTTTAAGAAGCATGATCGCTAACTACATGGATTTATAACAATTGATCGACCCAAGGCAGCATAGGTTCAGAGCAGGTCGCTCCTTCCCCACTACTGGGACCATTGTCACATGGTCTCTGATGCAAGGAAGAGAAAATGAGGATGTAGTATATACAGACTTTGCAAAAGACTTCGACAGATGCGAGCATGGTGTCATAGCACACAAAATGAATAAGTGGAAGAATGGGGAGATGGATTTTCAACTTTCAGACAAACAGAACTCAAGAAGTAACTGTCAACAGAGTTAATTAAGTCAGAAAGTTAAAATTTCTGTTTCTCAAGACACAGTACCAACCCCCATCCCAACTAAATAGAGAGAAAAACTAACGTGAAGGACCTAGGAATGATAATGACAGGATCTTGCGTTCAAAGATCACAACAGTATCGTCATCACAACCGCAAGGAAAATTTCTGGTAGAAACAAGGGATGCCAACCCAGTAATGTTCTCTCATGTTCTCTCTAGGCTGGAATATTGTTGTACACTGGCAGCTACTTTTATGGCAGATGAAATTGCAGATCTAGAGAACGTACAGAGAACCTTCACTGGATGTACAAGTTCAGTCGAGCATCTTAATTACCAGGAACGTTTTAAATCGACCTATACTCAATGGAACGCAGGAGCTGGATAGTTCCTAAAAACAGTTCCTGATATTCCAAGCTGTTCGTACGTTGGACCGAATTCGGCCGGCAGTAACAGCTTAGTAAATGACGTCCTGATCCACCGGGGCAGAGGGGGCGTTGACCCCTCTGAACACTGCAGGTAAATATGCACATTCAAGACATTGATTGTAAAGTTTCGCCACTTGTGGTTTTATCAATACATCAGTGTCTTGATTGTGCATTTGTCTTATTCCTACAATGTTGGTAATAACATACCTGTATTTGTGCAATGTTCCTATGTTAGTGTATATTTTTGTACACCAGTAATAATGGATAGTGAGAATAGAACCTGTCTAGTGTTGACCACTAGGCCTATTTCAGTGTTCTCTATTCTTAAATAAGTATACTCAACTATTTGTGTAATTGTCTATTTGTAGCTACAGGAGCAACGTTATGCTCGTCGAGTCCCGGCACATCACGACCTGACCTGACCGTTCACATATAACACTGTAGGATCACCCTCCAGGTATACAGTCACCTTTACTACAGTCCTTGCCCCGCTGTATTACCCTGTTCACCATGTGTTCTGTAGACGAGCAAGACACGTGTACAACACTTCTAGTACCTTTACTGTCGACAATTAAGAGAACGTGTTGCACATATATCAACTTGCCGATACGGTATATAATTTGTAACAGGATGCTCTATAGACTTCAAAGAAGCTTGCTCTTCCATTGAAACTTTTATCGAAATTGCGTCTAAACTGCTATGGTCTTTTGTTAAAATTTCATCTACCATTGTTTAGAATTCCAGTGGTTCAAATATTCCTCGTGTAGCCGAGCGGCCGACCCTGCCACACTACGTTGTCAGTGAAAGTTCGAACAAACCTTGAGCTTTGAACTTTCTCAGCTTGCTGCTACTGTTCGAGTTTCTAACGAGCGGAGTTTGTCATACTGTCTTGAGCAGCGAGCCAAGACAATATCTTAAGACAATGACATTTCTTCGTTTCACTCTCGTAAATAATTGATTTAAATGTCACCATGTTACATAAATGAGATAGTTGTATTTTGACATTTATAAATTTTAGAACAGGCATTATATATTAATTAAAGGATTTGTTTCCTTAGCTGATGGGGTTGACAGGGGTCAGGTGATGGGGTTGACAGGTGGGTCAGGTGATGGGGTTGACAGGTGGGTCAGATGATGGGGTTCACAAGTGGTGTTGTAGGGAGCCCACAGGTGGTGAGGGTGGTTACAGGTAGTGTGATGTTGATAGGGTCACCGGTGTGTTGACGAGATCACAGGTAATATTGAGGGCTCTCACAGGTGTTGACGAGATCACTGGTGTTGTTGAGAGACCAGGGTACCAATACAACCATCTTCCTCCCGAGGTATGCTGGTCACTATTCCAAAATGTTAATTGCTTCATTGTTGTTATTTTTCTATTGTCAAATTATTGTTGTTGTTATTAGGAGTAGTTGCAATATAGCAGTAGTTTTCTCAGCTCCCTCTCCCTCTGTCTCCATCGTATTCTACATCTCCCAGCCTTCTCTCTCACCCCTTTCACACCCCTCCCCCCTCCATTTATTCCTCTCCTTCCCCTCTTCCTTCCCCCTTTTTTTTTTACCCCCTCTTAGACCCCTGGTTGTCTTCAGGGAGGAGCCGGACACACCTGTAGTCAATACCTGACCAGCCGTGTTGTGGTTCATGCATGGATTGCATGCGGCCAACAGTAACAACCTGGTTGATCAGGTCCAGATCCATCACGAGGCCTGATCATGGACCGGGTCGGGAGGGCGCTGACCCCCGGAACACCTTGTAGACACCTCTATCCTCTTTTTCTCTATCCTACCCTCTTTTTCCCCCATTTCCCCTGTCCCCCTCTCTTCTCTCGTTTTCTTTTCCCCTCTTCCAGACACTTCGCCTCTCTTTCTCTGTTGTCTCCCTGTCTCGTTCGTTGGTTTGAGTGACTGACAGTTCTATTCTTGTTGGTGGATCGAGTAATGTGACCAGAACCGATTGCAATAGTTGGTAGGCACTCCATTGTGACACTGTTACGACACCCGATGGATGGTGTTGACAAGGTGTTACATAACAGAGGATGATAATAATTGTCATTACAGTTGCATGTGTCTGACGTGTTATTGCTGTGTGTACAGGTATACCGATGTGATTAGTTCATTAAGATACACTCCTATGGGTGGTTTCTAGTGCTTTTCTATCCTCGCAGTCCAGACTTGACCATCTGGTCAGTCTTGTGCAAGCGGTCCACAGGCCCACGTAGTCATTACAACCTGGCTGATCAAGCACTTTCAGTGGCTAATGGTCCTAGTTTCCTATTGAAAGCCTCTACCTTTGTTCGTCAATATTTTTTACATCTACTGGTGACAGCTTGAATAGTCTTGGGCCGCGGAAGTTGACACAATGTTTTCTAAATGTCTTGGTCATTCCTGCCTTTCACTATCTTTATTCTACTCTTCCTCTGTTATCTCACTGCAGTATAAAGTTAAGGTAGTGTGTAAACGGGAGACCAGACCCTCCAGTGTCGTCCATAGCTGTCTTAAGATATATCTTCAGATGCCTCGAGGCGTTCTCAGTAGTTGAGGTGTTTTATTGGTTTTGAGCAGGCAGTAAACGACCACTAATATATCTCAACGTCTCCTTTGCCATGAAACGACCTGGGAACACACGACC